CAGGTAAGATTTTTAACTCTTACTCTAAGTTGCGCTAAATTAAGACACGCAGCGCAACGCCCGAATGTCGAAGCTGAATATTTCGACATGAACGCGGACGCACTTCCCTCCTTTGACCTTCGAGCAATTAACTCTGTTGTTCTCTGTTACTATTACGTTGTCTCGAAACCAGAAATAGCTCATCTCTGTTGCCTCGATCAGACCATGAACCTGCTCTACTGGATCTGGGTGTGTTTATTACATTTACCCACTGACACTATTATGACTACTGGAACGGGAAAGTTCAGGGTTAAGTTTGTGCCTAGTTTACATTAGCAACAAAAAAAAAAGAGTGTCATGCAAATTAAAACCTTATCTACATTGCATTTTAATTTTTGTCTGTCTGTATTTTGAAGCTGACTTGATTGAATTTTGAACAAGAATTTGCGGATGGCTCAGTTAAAAGTCCCAGTCGTTGCAAATTTGACTTTTTTTTTAAGCTTTCAGACCATGTAATGATGCTTCCAGATCACTATATCATTATTTAAATGTTTAACTAATCTTGCGTCTTCGGTCCGTGTTCTTCTCTCGATCTCCAGTTGCTCTGTTCCGTCTGCTGATGTCATGAAGTGGTAAAAATTGATTGGCTAGTTGGTTAAAATTACTATCTTGAGAGGTTATTGGCAATCAAAATGTGGGAAAACATGCCTGCAAATGTAGAACGCTTTATTTCTACTTATATCGGTCTTTAAATATGGTTGTATAGAGGATTTTTTTAAGGGAAGAGAAATACAGCGACAGTCCTTGTGCGCATTCAGAATTACTGTTGAAGTTTCCTGTCTAGAAGTAATTCAGCGACCGACGCGTCAGTTTTTAGACCCTTCGTCTGCTTCGGTCGCGCCATCGCTGGACGAGATCTCCAAGAATCACCTCAGTTTGGCTTTGCTCCTTTTCCTCTTCTCTTCTTCTTTCAGCGACCTCAAAAACGGACTTTCTTTCGCGGCGAACCGGTCGTGGATTCTCGTCCGCCGTCGCGACAAACTTTGTGCGAAATGCGAGGAAGCGACAGTTCGAAAATGCCTCTAAGAACCGCTGCGTAAACCACGTAATCCCCGCGCTCCGACGAGTCAGTTACACTAGGGAGTTTGATTGACAACCTAACAGCCAATAGAAAATGAGGGAGCCTCGTTTTCTATTGGCTGATGTTTATCTGGCCTCAACACGTCCACAGTTGATAGATTTTCGTTGTTTTTTTTTTGGTCATCATAATTACAAAGCTGCTGCGTCTCTGTAATGGTATTTTAATCTTTCACTGACCGTTTGAAACTAAAAAAATCCTCCATACAACCTTTGAGTACCTTGGCTTTGGGATTTAATGTCTTAGAACTTGAAATAATTCCAAATGAACTAAAAATACAGACATAATTTCACAGCCACAGTGCTCCATATACTAGTTTGCTATCGACAGCAAAAACAATAAAACTGCGTAAATAAAAAAAAATGAAAATGTCTGGACATGTTAGACTTCACAGAGGACTCAAATTCACAGAGGCTAAAATTAAAAACTGGCACTAACTGCATGTTTTCTGTTCTTTCGAGTTATGTAATGTTACAAGTTTTCTTATTAAAATAAAAGTTTAATAATAGTTTTGCTTAAACACTGAATCCAGAACAAGCAAAATATAAAATAATAACAACATTTTAAATAAATAGTGTCTCGAGCAGCTCTAATACAGACATGATCTGATCTGGCGGGCCAAATATAATTATATCGCGGGCCAAATTTGGCCCCCGGGCCTGAGTTTGACATGTCTGTATTGGTGTAAGCATGCAGCAGGAATTAACATGGTTTGATGACAGAAATGCTTAAGACAAGTCTGGAGATGATTTTATGGATTTAAAAACTGCACCGGGCTTCTGTCTATGACTTCACAATCCCGGAAAATTTCACAGTGGAAGTTTCTACAGAGAATGGATGACGTCTGAAATACAACTCCAGGTATGTTCAGGGTTCCCACGGTCATGGAAAAGTCATAGAATTTTAGTATCTCTTTCACATAACTCCAACTTCTGCGCCTTTTGTTTAAAAAAGACGACAATAAATGCACTGACAGGATTTTGAATGTTAAAAACTTAAAAACTATGGGAGCGTGCCTATGTTCCCTCATTTCTAAGTGTTTTTTTTTTTTTTTTTTCCCAAAAATTAGGCCCCATGTTCCCACATTTTCTTTATCATCAACTTGCATCGATTTTATTCCAATTTCTCCCAATTCAGTTCGTCAGTTATAAGCAACCTGTTCTCCAGCAGCAGTTGATACAGATGTAATGTAAAGGTCACGGAGCAAAAGATCCGAGGTTGAAATGACTCTGAATCATCCCTTTAACGGTGGTATAAAAATAAAAATCACTTGACTTAAGAGTTTCATTTTGAGAAAAATCGTAAAAATAAGAAAAATCTTAGAAATAACGGAACACAGGACTGACCCCAAAACTATAATCCCAAACCATAAAGTGAGTGGAAAGTGTAACCAGGGTAAAATTCAATCCCCTTATCCAGATCCAACCCAGGTTTTCCCCTCTCCACATGATTTGTCACCACCCATCACACTGCCCATTTCACCAATTATCCAATCACACATCCCCAGTCAGAGTAAATAAGGTCCCCTGACGTCTCTCTCCTCAGTTGTGTGGGAGAGGAGCCAGGGGACAGAGCTTCAGGGTCAGTACATCTACACTTTTTTTCATTTCAAATTCTCATGTTTCCCATTTTTTAACTTCACCATTCACACCTTTTAGAACCAGACCTTCCAATGCAAATCATGCAATAAATCATACATAGGGGAAACAGGCCGGGCATTTCACATCCGAAAAAAGGAACACCAAAAGGAATGCGAAAAGGAAACGTCAGGGAGACTCACCAGAACACAAAAAGACAAAGCAGAACAGGAAAACCTAAAATCCGCCATATCAGACACTGTAAAAGGAACAACCACATTATGGATCAGGACGGGGCTCGGATCATTGGATCGGAAAACAACAAGTTCAAACGCTGGATCAAGGAGGACGGTGAAATCAGGAAACGAGGCACGGACAGCGTTAACCGTGATGACGGAGCGTTCCTCCTTTCACACACCTGGGACACCCTCCTCCAGAGACACCGGGCGACGGGAGGCGTGGTCAGTCTGAGCGACCTGCAGGTCCATCAGGTCTGACCACGCCCACAGGAAGTAACAACAGCTGATATACGACACGTCACCACCAACACCGGGGACAGTTCTGAAGATGGCTTGCAGCAGCAGCCGAAACATGTCAACAAGGTAAACACACTTTACTGCATTGTCTTTAAAAAGAACCTAAGAAGTTATAGAACCAGACCTGTTGTGCGACATTGTCACGTGTGCGTTCAATGCACTGAAACAATACTGAACCCCATTTATTGATTTATTTAATGACTTTTGTTCTTGTGGCTTTGTATGCTAGTGCTAATGCTAATGCTAATGCTAACGCTAACTGTAAACATGTTCTAAGAGGCCTTTCTTAATGTGCACACAGGCCAGGTGCCCAGACTTGGGTTCAATTAGATGGCGGAGCGAGGAACTGTCCTTTTGAGAGCTTCGGTCTGGTAGGAGGCCAACCGCCTGTCCTCTGTCTCCCACCTCCTCCAGCTACCTCCACTATGTAACTATTCAATCAACTGCGCTTTATGGACGTCATACCCCCACAAAATAATTCATATTGGACTTTAAAGTAGCTTGGACTCTGTTTTACACCCTGGGCAAACAGACCCGGTTCGCAAGGACGTTTAATTGAGTTGTTTGATTTTTGTTGCTGCAGCTGTTGTATATTTTGTTCTCACTTTCTCCCTGTATAATACACTTTATTCATTTTTTCAACTAATCCCATGTCTCAGTTTACTGCCCCTGCCCTCCAGTAGCCTTACTTCGAATCTTCTGATCATTCCACCTTGTTAATTACAAATAGTAGTCATAACACAATTATAACACAGTCACTACACGGTTATTACAATAACATCTAGTACACATTTATTACACTTTTATTATGTAGTAATAGGCAAACACTTGTTACAAAGAGTTTACATTTCATATTTCAAACTATGATCAATTCTACACATGTAGGTGCAGTAATGTCATGGAAAATTCACTTTAGGTCATGGAAAAGTCATGGCAGAGTTTTGAAATGTCACTGAAAAAGAGTGGGAACCCTGTATGTTTTCAGTGAGCTTCTTGATGAAGACTCCTGAAATGGTTTTCTCTCACAGCTAAACCCCACGCCTTTTTTTTTATGTGGAGTATAAACATTCTCCGCCGTGGATTTTCTCACGGTTTCTTCCATCAACCCAAAAAACACGCACCGTGGGTCAAGGATTCCAAGAAAAACAGCTAATTGAGGTCAAAATAAATACTAAAAATACTGTGACAGGGTTAAGAAATGCCCAAAGTGATCAAAGCAAAGCGACGATCTTGAGCTTATTTATTTACGAGTTGTTTTTGTTTGCGTAGTTTTGATTCTTTCAGTGAGAATCTACAAGTAGAAAGTGAAAAAAACACGTCCAAAGGTTCGACTTTTGACGTATTTCTAAAACCGTAACCGTACCTTCAAAGCTGGTCCCATCTTGTCCTGAATCATCGCCTTCAACTCCCTCTTGGTCAGAGTGTTGGGGTCGCCCTCCCGCCCGGCGTACTCATCGAAAGCCTTCTTCAGGTCACCGACTTTACCTCCGAGATCGCACATGATGACGAGGAGACAGGAGAGGCAGCGACGAAGATCAGGGTGGAAGCCTCAGACGTTTTTATAGAACGTATCAATAGTCAATAAAAATGGTGAGGCTAAAATTTCACAGTGTATTAATGAATTATTAAGTCAAAATCTCGTTCTGTCTCGTTCTCGTTGATCCAAACTCGTGTCTTTTCTCGTCTCGTGTAAATTATCATAATCTCGTCCCACCCCTAATTACTGAATTAATTAACAAAAGACAGAACACGACATACATACATTGTAAGAATTCCTTTATTTAGCAAAACCAGGTAACGCTTAAGACTTGGGGCCCTTGGCATGCCAGCCGTGGACCGCGCTCATCAACATCCCTATCGCCTGCATGAACTCTGCGAAGTCCACTTCTCCGTCTCCGTTTTTGTCCATGCACTCGAAGATCTTATCCAGCTTGTCTGGGCACTTGGCATCCTGCAAACGCAAGAATGGAGAAGGTCAAATATGTAAATAATTTCGCCTCGGAAGAAGACAAAATGTAAATACACAACCCGGTTAAAGAGTCAAAGGTTTGGACACGTTTTGTTTGCTTTGTACGTTTTACACTTTGTACGTTTTATCAAATATATGACGCAAAAAACTCAACTTTTTACATTTTAGATTAAATGAGTGAACCTCAAAATTTGTTGACAGTTCTCTAAACTCTTGGTCTTCTCTCAATGAGCTTCGCACAGCTATTTTTCACCCACGGCTCTTCCAAACACCTTTTTTGTGGAGTTTGAACGTTCTCCACTGTGGATTTTCTCACAGTTTTCTCCATTAACCCAAAAAACACGCACCGTAGTTCAATGATTCCAAGAAAAACAGCTAATGGAGGTCAAAATAAATTCAAAACTGTGTCACAAAGAAGAAGAAAAGCCAAAAAGTGCAACGCAATGATCGAAAATCTTGAATTTATTTATTTACTAGTTATTTTTGTTCGCGTAGTTTTGATCTGAAAGCGAAAAAAAACACGTCCAAAGGTTCGACTTTTGACGTATTCCTAAAACCGTAACCGTACCTTCAAAGCTGGTCCCATCTTGTCCTGAATCATCGCCTTCAACTCCCTCTTGGTCAGAGTGTTGGGGTCGCCCTCCCGCCCGGCGTACTCATCGAAAGCCTTCTTCAGGTCACCGACTTTACCTCCGAGATCGCACATGATGACGAGGAGACAGGAGAGGCAGCGACGAAGATCAGGGTGGAAGCGAGTGGGTGCCGACGGTGCGCGCCTCAGACGTTTTTATAGAGCGTAGGAGAGGCGTGTCTGCGGGTTAATGTGGTCCCTGGCCTTAAGCTCGCCTCTGTTGACATCACGTAAACCTGCTGCGACGCCCAACATGCAAAACAAGTCGGACTGATTTATGACAATGCTCTGGCTGGGTTTGGTCTGAAGCGAGGACAAACAAACACGAGCTCAATCTGATCTTTGTGCAAATGTTGTATCAGGCTAATAACGTGAATGAAAAGACGGATCCAGGAATGACAGGTTTGAAATGTCTGCGCACAAAGGCCGGCCGTGATTTCATTCTCTCCCGTCCGTTTTAATGGGGTGTTATGTAACTTTACTGTTGCCTGCGCGTCTCCATGGTGATGTTATTGCTTTGTCTGGAATGCCTCGCAGTGTGGCATGAAATTATTGTTAGAAGAAACGTCCATTCTGGCTTTGAGGTGGGTCTCCGCTCCACAGATCTGATTTTTAAAGCGCTACAGTGAGTTATAATGCAGTTTCTTCCACACAAACGGAGCTGGAGAATACATATATCATGCGTTTATTCGTTTTTCAAAATAAAACCAAAAATAAGAAGATGGAAAAACAACAATTTTCTTCATTATTTGTGTCCAAAACCAAAAAAAAAAAAAAAACGATAACGATTTTTTTTTTTTTCAGTTTCTGATTTTGTGTTTAAATGATTAGTCCTGGTTTTGTCTTGTTTTAGTCCTGGTTTAGACCTGTTTTCCCAGACCAGGACTGAGACCAGGACTGAGACCAGGACTGAGACGGTTTAGACCTATTTTAGTCCTGGTTTAGTCCGTATGCAGCGCAAAAGTCCGGTGTCACAGTTTAAGCCACGAATAATGGAAAACACAAAATTTAAAACTGAAAAAACGAATCGTTATTTTGTTTTTTCATTTTGGATTTTGAGATAAATAATGAAGAAAATAGTTGTTTTTTTGTTTTCTTATTTTTGGTTTTATTTTGAAAAACGAATGAACGAATGACACAGATTATGGAGTTGTGTTTTGTTTCATTCACACATGTTTAACGCGCAAATCCTCTACATTTTTAAATTTTTATGTATGGATTTGTACAAGTCATTCCATTGGGAGCACAGTTTGTCAAGAAAAATAAAACATTTGGATATAAACACATTAATTCATTCATTCTACACGCTCATCATCCACACAAGTCGTGTAATTCCAAGTAGAACAATATTCACATGCTCCAAATCACCCTCCCTCTAAACATGAGGAGTAAGTCATATGCAATCTGTGCTTTTGTTACCAACCCTGCAAGTGCATGAAAATAATGTTATGTTTAGGACAGGACCTCGCCAGACCGGTTTTGTTTGTTCTAGTTCGTGTGTTTCATACGTGGCATCATGACCGCAAACATATTTCCTGTGATTGGGCGTGTGCTTAACGAGCCAGAGATGAAACTCCCGAGGCGAACTTCTTCTCTTTTGTCTTTTTCAAATAATAAATTCCAAAATTGTCTCAAAATGTCTGTTAATAAAAATGCAAAAATGTAATTAATGTGTATTTGTTGAGTTAAAATAGCACTATGAACCTTTTTTGGTGGATAGTTTGCGACCTTTTATTGCAATAATCTGATCTATTTTTTGCATTTATGACTAGTTTGGGGTGACCAGACCAGTGATGGGAATTTCGGCTCTTTTTGGCTCTGCTTACTTATAAAGAGCCGGTTCTTTCGGCTCCCAAATGGATCCTCAGATTTTCTGCTTCTTAAAATAATTGATCACCAAAAATAATGCAAAACTGTGAGTAAAATGATGATTACTAATGCAGAGGTTGGGACTTGAGTCAGATTTGAGTCACTATTTTTAGAACTTGGGACTTGATAAAATGGACTAAGACTTGGGACTCGACTTGGACTTGAAGGTCAGTGACTTGGGACTTGACTCGGACTTGAGCCCTGTGACTTGAGAAGACTTGATGCTTAGACTTGTTGCCAAAAAACTGTTATTAAACACCTTTTAATCTTAATTATTTCCGTTTTGATCGTAATAATTCGCACTCTTGTCAAATCATTTAAAAAGAATAAAGTAACATTTCTACAGCTGTACATATATATCAAGACTTTTTAAGTACAATTTAGTTTAAAAATTATATTATCTGCAAAAATCTATGATATGTTTGGTATTTTGGTTTAAAGACTTGAAATGATTTGAAGCTCAACGCAGACGACTTGGACTTGACTTGGACTCGTGGGCCAGTGACTCGAGACTCGACTTGCCTGTCTTTGACTTGGGATTTGACTCGGACTTGAGGTCAAAGACTTGAAGACTTACTTGTGACTTGCAAAACAACAGCGGAAAACGGCTCGAGAAACGGGCTTCGGAAGTTTTTCGAACTTCATAAATGCAAAAGTGAATCAGATGTGTGTGACTCAAACCTCCGTTCAAACTGTTTCTCTTCCCAACGGAATTGAAAAACAGTGAAAGGCGAACTTCCGGAAGCCCGTTTTCCACTGTTCAAACATCCAACAACCACACAATTACGATGTCCGAATCCAATAACTAAAATATGACAATATCAGAACCAGAAACAAAAGTGATATGGTTCAAAAGACTTGAAACGATCGACTTTAACAATAGACGCATCCCACTGGGAAAACAAACATGGAGGTTTGATGCTCACTTTTTCAGAGGATCCTTCCCAAAATTCGTGAGGCATGTATTTGATCCCTGCCAACAGTAAAGAGAGGCATAAATTGTCATTTGTTGCTGCTTAAAAATGACCAAAACACAAAGAAAATGTGACTTTACTGACTCATGGATGGTCTCTGCAGAAGAATTTTCCTTAATTGCGCATTCGTTTCACAATTTTATTATCATCAACCACCAAAAAAACGGGGATGTCCCAGTTTTTTATTTTGAAATTCTGGTCACCCTGTCGTTGTGGTGAATAATTACGGTTGTTCAGAATGTTACTGTAAGACCGTAAAAATCAAGTACAACGCTTATATTTGGATCATTGTTTACTGTACGCTGTTTGTGTTTAAAGGAAATAAATCATATTTTCTGTCCTGGGATTAGCTGATATTGTGTATCTGCAGTAATCCCCCCTCCCCTCTCCTTAGTCCTGGTTAAATCCTGATTTTAGGCCTGGTTTTGTCCTCATTTAATCCTGGTTTAGTTCTCGATTTTAGTCCTGGTTTTAATTCTGGTTTAGTTGTGGTTTAGTGTTGGTTTAGACCTGGCTTAGTCTTGGTTTTAGTCTTGGTTTTAGTTCTGGTTTTGTGCTGGTTTAGACCTGGATTAGTCCTGGTTTAGTCCTGGATTTAGTTCTGGTTTAATCCTGGTTTAGTTCTGGTTTAATCCTGGTTTAGTACTGGTTTTAGTCCTGGTTTAGTCCTGGTTTGGTCCTGGTTTTTGGTCCTGGTTTAGTCCTGGTTTGGTCCTGGTTTAGGTCCTGGTTTAGTCCTAGTTTAGTCCCAATTTTAATCCTAGTTTAGACCTGGTTTTGTGCTGGTTTTAGTCCTGGATTTAGTTCTGCTTTAATGCTGGTTTAGTGCTGGTTTAGTGCTGGTTTAGTCCTGGTTTAGTCCTGGTTTAGTCATGATTTTAGTCCTGGTTTAGACCTGGTTTAGTCCTAGTTTAGTCCCAATTTTAATCCTGGTTTAGACCTGGTTTAGACCTGGTTTAGTCCTGGTTTAGACCTGGTTTAGTCCTAGTTTAGTCCCAATTTTAGTCCTGGTTTAGTGCTGGTTTAAGAAAGTAACTCATATTAAAGAGTAATTGCGACGGTATACAGTGTTGGAAAGTAACTGAATACATGTTTAAATATTTAAAAAACGACCAAAACACAAATAAAATGTGACTATAGTTACTCATTTTCATTATTTACGCACTCGTTTCACAATTTTATTATTACCAGCCACCAAAATAAATAAATAAACTAGAAAACGGTGACGTCCCATTTTTTTATTTTGAAATTCTCTTCACCCTTAACTTCGCCGGTTGGTGTCTCCTGGTAAATGAAAAATGTCTTGGTGATTAAAGTCTTACTGTGGAGCATTCAGTGTTGGATTTAATTAAAAGTGCAGATACCAAGGCACTTAAATAAATAAATAAATAAATACACACTCGAGCCACTGGGTTAGATTTAATCCGAGTATAATCCATGACCTGGAGCCTGTAAATTGTGAAATGAGTGGTTTTGTTTTTAGAGTCCTGCAAACATAATGAGAGGCCGGTGTGTCTCGCTGCTGCCGCCTTTGTTTGGGGATCGTCTGGTGTTCTGAACTGTGCCCACGCCCAGACTATTAACTGTCAGGAGGAGCGCACGCCCTGCGAATCTACTGCACCACAGGATTTACTTTAATGTGTGTCAACATATGTACAGGCATTAAGTATTAAGTTACCAGGCAATAATTTTGATAGATAACGACGTCTGTCAAGTACGATGCAATGTTTGGCGATATGTTTTTTTTAAATCGAGTTAAAAGAGCCGTTAAACATCGTCATGAAGATTTACTCCGGCCTTAAGCAAAATCTGAAAAATCCTCCAGCGTTGTGGGCGGGGTCTAGAGCGATGATTGATTGACAGCTGACCGACTTCCGACAGCGTGCTTTGGACATTACATGGTCAGGCCGATTTTCCAGACTATTAACTGTCAGGAGGAGCGCACGCCCTGCGAATCTACTGCACCACAGGATTTACTTTAATGTGTGTCAACATATGTACAGGCATTAAGTATTAAGTTACCAGGCAATAATTTTGATAGATAACGACGTCTGTCAAGTACGATGCAATGTTTGGCGATATGTTTTTTTTAAATCGAGTTAAAAGAGCCGTTAAACATCGTCATGAAGATTTACTCCGGCCTTAAGCAAAATCTGAAAAATCCTCCAGCGTGGGCGGGTGTGGGGCGGGGTCTAGAGCGATGATTGATTGACAGCTGACCGACTGCCAAAACAATCCGACACGGTGGTGCGGTCCGGTGCGCTCCGGACTTTGACACCGAGCGGACATTAGGCATTTTCCATGGATCTATAAATGAGTGCGTATACATGCACATCAATAACCCGGTTATGATCGGGTTTTTTGAGTATCCCGGTTTCTTGATGGTGCATGTAAACGCAGTAA